TTATTGAGTCCAAAAGATTATGTGCACAGAGACGCTTTGCGCAAGGAATGACAAGCCGACTCAAGAGCTGCTTCTCCCCAAGGTGTGGTCTTGGGTCTTGCGCACCTTCCCGTAAGTTTTCCAGATGACCGACACACCTGAATGACTCTTCTGGGAATCTTCACTTGTTTTTCTTGTATGAAATCTTCTTGAAGTCCACCACAATCCTTAAGTGGTGCAAGTTTGGCTTTGGATGGCAGAGCCCTTTCTGGCCGCTTTTACCCTTGAACACCCTCAGGTGGTGAATGGAACGGCTGGTGATTGGTTTGCTGCCTTGGATGCATCCTTTGAAGTGGCCGCATGTTGGCAAGAAGGGTTGCTGCCGGTCCCTCCAGCTGACAGCCTGTGGGTCCATGCAATGAGAGGAGTCGGAGAAGGGCTAAAGCCAAGACTGATCCAGTTTGTTTTTTCTGATCCAGCGGGACCCTGTCGTGACAGTGGAATTTTCAGGAAAGGATGGCAGTTGGAGCCAGCCACGGCCATGTCTACCTGATGGACATGGCCATCTTCAAGCAGCTTGGCAAAGGAATGCAGTGATGGATTTGTAGTACGCAAGAACTTGCCCACTGCCAGCCACCCATGTATGTGTCGTTTTATCACAGGTAGAACAGTGGCAGTTGTTTGCCATCCTGCATTCCAACTGAAGCATGTTGCTTGCTTCCTTAAGAACAAAATTACATCATGACATTATGTATTTTGACAAGTGACACATGTATTGAGGCAACATGTATGGTTTATTTTTGTTTATTTAGTATGTCATCCTAACAAGTTGTTGTCATGTTTGCATTTCGCCGGAAGAGAGCTGCAGGCCTGTCTTGGACCTGTTGGGCCACAGGGCCTTCGTTCGCCGAGCTGCTCAGCTTAGATTTGATGTTTAGCATAGGGGATGATAAGGGATGATAAGGGTGTGCATTGAAATAGAGAGGTTTCCCTAAGCAATGGGTTTCGGTATGCGTCGGTCTATTCTTTTGGTCTTCCCAGACGTGTTCATAATATGTTTAACATGTTTTAGCATACGTACTGATATTATTAGTGATTGTATTCCGTTTCATTCTCATCCCGGTTCCAGCAGTGGACCCCTTGAGTTCAGTTGTTTGGGAACAGCAAGCATTCCCTAGTGTTGACGGCAAGGGACGATAGAAACGACACCCATAGAAACGGCGCTTGAGGATTGAGTTCTCATCCGAGTTCTCATCCCTGACCTCGAAGGTTTAAAGCATTTAGATGCATTTAGCAAAACAAGCACCCCATCGTCCAGGTGATCGCCGACTGGGCACAGCAACGTGTTGCCTCCTGCTCCTCCGATGGTCCCTGAGCGGAACAGAGAGACGAAGGAAGGGAAAAAAGCGGCACAGGCGTATAGCGCTGAGAGCCATGCGCCTTTCAAAAGTCACACGATTCTGAAAGACGGAGCTTTTTGCCACTTTGGACTTTCTTCACAGATGATGGGACATCTTCCCAGAGCGATGCAGAAAGCGAGCGATCAGAGACTCGCTCGACCTTGATCAGTACTCTGAGGCTACCTGAACGTATACGATACACGGAGCGGCACTGCTATCTGGGAACTACCCCACGACAGATGCTGTGTGCTCTTGGCTGCAAGCATGGCAGTCCATCCAAGAGCTAGAGGAAACAATAAGAGTACAGGAAAGGAGGATTGTGGGAACCTGAGCAGTTTCCTTCATTTTGAGATTACAGTATTCGTCTTGAACTGTTTGTTTATGTTTTTTTCTTTTTCTAGGGTCCAAGAAAGCCCATCAACGTGGAACAACACACATCCTGTCCAAGCCACCCATATTATGATGCAGCGAACGGACGAGGGTTTTGAACGGTGGGCTACCAAACCTAGCTAAGCTACGTATATATATATATATGTATGTAATAAGTTTCAAAGAGGACCGGCAACTGTTTCAAGACCGCCCCGACCGCCTCGCCTCAGGATGCCATGGATGTCAGCTTTGATGCTGGCTTGGCACTGTGTAAACCGCTACAGAAGCCGATGAAGCTATGGGATTTGAAGAGACTTGGACCACTTGGAGCATTTGAGCCCTATTGAGCCCTCGGGATTGGCGGAGAGACAGACTTTTCGGGTGTTGTCCATTCACTCTCCGCACCGTGAGGGAGAGACGGAGAGGAAAGGTGGCGGCCACGACTTCTGCCCGTGCGGAATCCAGAGATGAAAGGACCTGCTTCGTTCTACACCTAAGGACTGGACGCACTGTCAAAGAATTTGCATCCAGGCTCAACAGGACACAGTAGGATTCCAACAAGTCACAATCGGCGTAGAGTGAGATTTGTTGCTAAAATATACTGATTGCTGTTTTCAGGAAGTAAAGAGGTCCTTTGGTTTGACTTAGCATGGCTCTTCGCTAAAATGAGCTGAGGCAATCCCTGGCCACAAGCCAAGCTGGATGAAAGTGAATTGGGACACACAAATCGTGTGCACTGGCGCAGATGACAAGGCCTGGTCGAAAAGGTCCTTCTTTGTATTTCTTTGTCGATTTGTTGGAATCACGGCCGCTCCTCACGGTAAGGAGGTCAGGGTTCCCTTGGTTTGCCAAAGCACGTGGGCTTTTGGTGACGATCATACCATATCACTCACCCGCAATCGATGTCACGCTCTGTTTTTGTGATGCTCCCTGCTGACACGTCATTCGTTTGAATATGTTTGAACAATGAACAATGTTTGAACACTATATTCCAATATATTCTATATGTAAATGTGCCAGAAACCTCGCGGGGATCCATGCAGATTCAAACAATTTCTGCTGGCAGAGCATCAGCCCTTAAATCTTGTGTGGGGTGGATCAAAAGGATTCTGGACCCACCAAAAGTGCTAAACCCACCAAAAGTGCCGTCACTTGTCCTTCGTCCTGTTCGTCCCGTTCGTGCCATTCGGTAAGAAAAGAGGTGAAGTTCTGGGACCTCGAGACCGGGGAGGTGTCCAAGACGATTGACTGCAACTTGGATTCCAAGTCGGGCGAAGAACTGTGACCGTGTGACCCAAACTGGTGTGTGAACGGACGGCGCGAAGAACTGCGACCGACCGGTACCTGATCAGTGATGATCCTGATGTCGAGACAGAGGATTCTGTTTTCAAGCCTTGAACTCCCATACCAAAGCGACCCGGTTGAGCCACCGGACGTCTAAAGCCGACCCGGGACCTCGGCCAACCGCGCGGACGATTTGGAATGAGGCCATCATCACCTCACCCAGTGCTTGGATGTGGATTGGGATGCAGGGCTCCTCCTAACAGGCTCTGTTGACGCTCAAGCTGAGAGATATGATCGATCTGAGTGTCATGAGGGGACACCTCAAGCAGATAGCAGTGGGTTTCATCATGTTTCATCTATCAGGGCTCCGGCCCTTACTACTAGGAGCAAGAAGCTACTAGGAACAAAAGGGCACCTGTTTGTTTCATCATGTTTCATCTATCTATTATCCCTTTGGATGTTTGCATCCTTGGACCGACGCAACCAAGGATGCTCATCTTAAGCTTTGGGACATCGAAACCCAGTCCTTCATGAAGCGGTTTCTACAGGGAACGCGGTGCCTCACGCGAGTTCTTTTCCATTGAGACTGGTGAGAGCCCATTGCAGCCTTTGCCCCGTGGCAGGTGGGGCACCGAAGTAGAAAGCTGTACAGGCCCTTTTTTGAGAAGCTATAAGTACTGTAGACATATTTATAATAAGTAGTATATATTGGTAATATGGACGAAAATGGGATTGGTTGCCCTGAGCGGTATTATAGATTTGCAATATGATGGAGGATTCAATTCAAGGGGTACTTTATCATGACTCAGGCGCATTAGGTTTTGCGATTGAAGATGATTATATAGAAGTTGTTCAGTCATGCTGGAGGTTTACTGCTCAGTTGGAATCTATTCTTGGCCTGTATGCCCTGCGAGGACAACTTATAACAGCTCACTTTGACAGGTTTGTGCTCCTGCCTGTTTGCTCTAATGACTGGGCAACAGGCGAGTCAAATCTGCGTGAATTCAACAGATTTTTTATTGCATGGAATGCTGCGGTGATTGTCAATGCAGCAATGCATTGAAACAAATATGATGAAGGAACACCTCGTTGATGTTTGCTCAGACTAATTTGTGTGGTTCTGCTTCCGAATTCAATGCATGCATTCTCTATGACAGCAGTGACCTCAACGATAAAGAATGCTGGACTGTGTACCATGAATGAAAGCACCGAACGAACATTCAGAGGCCACGTCCCACATGATGTCATCAGGACCAATCAGGAGATTATTGCCACTGGCTTGCAGGTCACAAAATTGGATTTTTTTGACATGCAAACTACACTGAGAAGTGTAGAAATTCAATTGGACCAACAGCCACGGTTGGTCTTTCCTTTTACCCCTTTGGTGCAAAGCACTGCCAAGTTTTCAGCACCGCCATCGACGGAACACGAAAAGCGTCGTGGTTGGAAGCAGCAAAGACCTCCAAAGATCTGGGACATAATGGAGCTCCAGCCGATCAGAGCAAGCCTTGAGCAAGCCTGGTGGATGGCAAAGACCACCAGGGGTTTGGTTCTGTTTGTTTATGTTTGGTTTCTACTCGGAGATGTCTTGGGTCTTGATGGTTCCTGATGGTTCGCCTTGGAGGTCTGAACCAGCTGTCGACCCAAAGGGTTGCACACAGCACGAAGGACGACGAAGAATCGAAGCGGGAAAAAACCGAGGGAGACGACGCCAGGAGGCCTCGCCTGCTCCGAATGCCCAGTAGACTAGGTGGACACCAAACCGCTGAGCTAAAGGTATGTTTATCATATTCAGAAGTTCTTATCTTCATGCTAAAGCATGGTAAAGCATTGCTTCATGATGTTTTTGGTTCCACCAAGCACGTTGGCCCCCCTGCGCCCCCTTGCGCCCCCTTGCGCTCCCTGCGCGCCCTTCCCCCGGCGCGATGGATCGTGCGAGCGAACGGGCGCGCGGTGGATCGTCCGCAGGCCCTGCGCGCTCTTCGATGTGAATCCCTCGGTGCAGCGACCCAGGGAAACCGGCGGTCGTTGGTCGGTGGTTGGGTCGTTGGGTCTTTAGAAGGAAGACATCTTAGAAGAACAGCAAAGAAGCTACCAGGAGCTACTTGGGCCTCGCTACGTAGGAGCGATCGGACGCTACACAGTGACAGTGGGCAAAGAGCTGAACAAAAAGAACACGGTCCTAGCTTATTGTTTCTAATAGCTTCTTGTTACTACTAGTAAGGCACTT